CTTATCTGAATTCTCCCTTGTAAAGTATTCTCCAAATTCGACTTGTAACTTTAATAAAACCTTTCGAGACTCAATTCGACGGACTGAATTGACTTGTAACTTCGTTTGGCTTATTAAGACTCGGATTCTGGAACGATTGTAGAATCAAATATTGTCATTCACATCACTGACTTGCGAGAATTGTGGTAGGGAACGGCACCTACGATTAATTATCAGGCTTCGTTTATCATCACGTGAACTTAAAGTTACCCCCGGTGTCACTTGATCATCGTCCGCTTTCGCCGGAACATCACCCTCAAGATCATCACCTTCCCTTAAACATTCTTAAATTGTTATCATTGTCTGCATATCACCCCCTGAACGCCATTATTAACAGCATCGCCTGTAGTTGCATCACACCCTTTTCATCCCTTGTCGATATTAAGTATCCATTATTGCATCCTATTGTTTCTTTTGTCCAATCCAAATATAAAAGACCCACTTCGCCGCTTCCAATTTATCTTTATCTCCCCGTACACCGTTGGAGTTAAATTGGTCTTTTTCTCTACTACTCACATAAGCTCTCCCATCAACGGTTACAATAGGTAACATTAAAATTTTCGAACGAGCAAAAAAACATCCAAAAAACTGGAATGAACATAACAAAAACACTTTTTACTAGAGTAGCATTAAATTCAAATTTAAAGCTTTATACGTGTTTAAATAAATCAAATTTGAATTTGGATATAAATGCATTCGAATTAAATGTAATTTGACTTAGAATTTATACAGTAGCAATATTTATATAAGCTGAATATAAATATATATATATATTATTTCAAAAAATCTCGTGATCTCGTAAGTCCGTTATTATTGTGCGCAGATTGAAATTTAAAAGGTTTTGGTTGCGATACTGGGAGCGTTCCAGTTTCCAAATTAGACTTGATGAATATATAGTATAGACGAACATGCATATGGTTATTGGCAGTGTGCATGGTTATTTGGAGACCTACACGTACTGTACGTACGTACGTATTTGGTTTTTTTTTTGAAATTAGCAATTCATATTCAAATTTTTCGTATTGGCCGCTTGTGTAGCCTATACGTCAGCTACACTTTCTCAGTAACATATCATGCCTTCGTAAATAAACTAATTGTAGCCAGCCTAAGATATGTAATTTTCCGAAGCGTAGCGAGAACTCTTTTTTGATCCAATTAATATATAATGCAATGTTTGTCATATAAACTGATCTGTGGTCAGTGATTTGCTTCGGACCTTTATCAGATTCTGATTTCCCAGTTTTACTATGAAACTAATGAACCAATTAAAAATTAAGAACTTCAGAATTTGTTAACAGACATCGGCGGCATCATATGAATTTTCAAGTGATTTTGTATTTAAATTCCGTACGTAAATAAACTTGGCGATTATGCTATGTTCGTCCTAATTTTGAAATAGCAAATCCAACACTTATGGCTCTGGTCAAATTTGCAGATCGTTTGGCTAAGTTCAGGGTTGTTTGATTCCGAATCTGATAACTGATCTAGTGTTACCAACCTAAAAAAACTTCGCTAAAACTATTTCGCTGTTAGATTAGGATTAGGTTTTGCCGTTAAAAGAGCTATAGTACCAAAATTTCACAAAGAAACTTTTTGTTAGTGCGCAAAAGGTGGTTTCATAGATAAAATATTAAGCTATGAGCGGTTTTTTTGATTTTTTGCGCATTACACCTGATCTAGGTTGGTAACGCTAGGGTAGTTGAATCAGACCAAATGATTTGCAGATTGACTAGAGTCATAATTGGTCTTGCTCTCTTACCGTTATGTAAATTTCTACAATGCGCCTATCTGTGTTATAAGTATTCGGATTGGCTTGCTTATACAAGCACACAAACATGAAGTTATTACACGTTTGTAAGGACGTATAGGACACATTACTTATGTTTTTTACGACAATTACAACTTTATAACGGATTTAAAACCATTATGGCAATTACAACCATTATGACATTACGACAATTATAATCATTACGGCATATTACAACATCGAGTTTAGTTGTAATGAGGATTGCAACCCAGGTAATGTCCGTAATTATTACTTACGGCCAGAAACCCAATTTGAGTTGTTTGAATTTTGCAATTTCAGTATAGTAAAAAAAAATATAATAAAAATAAAAAATAAATTTTATAGAAATTAATAGCAAATATACAAATACTAACATATTTTCTTTGAATTTATGAGCTAGTATGTACATTCAAACTCAATATTATTGAGCATGAAAAAAAAGACTATATCATCTTAATAATCTGTTTTGCCCCTCTAAACTCTTCCGTAGCCTTTTTAAATATCTCCAAAAAACTTTGCGTCAATGCATCGTCACTTACATCTTCCTTATTTCCACCCCAATTATTTTCTTCACAAACGACATCTTTTAACTTACCTTGTTTAATCAACTCAATAATTTCATTCAACATTTCTATTCTTTTTGCTTTGGGATTTTCTTTATTCCATCTTGCCATCCAATATCCAAAAAATCTTAAATCCTGAAAAATTAATTGTGATGCTGGAATCGTTAAAGGTTGACGTGACATTGCTCCATATGTTATTAACGGAGAAGAATTTCTATTTTTAAGAAAAAAAAAATAAGGAAAAATGACTTGATAAAAATCTTAACTTTGCAAATAAAATTAATAACCTGAGAAGTTTTGCCATGGAAATTACACTTTTGCCACAAACGCAATTTAAACCTAACGCAATTCCTTTACCCTCTATATCCTTATTCCATTCAAATTCATGATTTTTTGCTTGTAAATCTTTATCGCTTATTACATATGTTGCACCAATCGATTTTAAGAAATCTTTTAACTCTTGAAAATTTGGCCTTTGAAAAAATTATAATTAATTGAATATAAATATTAAATATATATATCATAAATAATGTAGATTAAACAATGTAAAGTAAATATTGTAAAATACAAACTATTAACCTATCCCTAATAATATTTATTGTATTTATATTCCATGCCTTAGCAATTTGAATCACTGCTTGTCCAACACCACTGTTTGCCCCATTTTGAATTATAAAATCGCCTAAAAAGCGTTTAAATAAATATAATGTAATAAGAGATTTAATCGAAGTAGTAAAATATAAATATAAAATATCTATCCATATGTATACCTTCTTTCAATGTAACAAAATCTTTTAGCATACGATAAGCAGAACAAGGATTTACTGTTAAAGTAGCAGCCCGAACTATTCCAATTCCTTCATGTGGAATACGAATAACATCATCTGATGTTGCATCAGCATGTGTTCGCCATGTTCCTAGTTGGTTATTAACAAATGTAAAAAATTTTAATAAATTTTTCAATATTATTCAAAATTCATTTTTAATCAATAAACTTACCAAACGCAGATTTACCCATAACGACCCAATCACCAACTTTTATATTTTCAACTTTATCGCCAACGCCAATTACTTGTGCAACGCCCTCATTTCCAGCAACGGCAATTTTTTCATGTTCACCTAAAGTTCTAAAATTTGGTTTGGCCGGGTAAACTCCTTCAATTTGATTAATATCTGATGGGTTAATTGGTGATGCAAGAAATTTTATGTGTAATGTTGTTGGAGTTAGTGGTGGTAATTGATAAGTAACTGCTCTTTTTGTGAATAAAAAAAAAAATTATTTTAATATAACAAAAAAAGAAGCATTATTATTTTTTTTTTAAAAAAAAAAAAAACTATTTGAAATACCTAAGAACTTCAGTAGGTGGGCCGTGTTTATTGAAGGTAATGGCCCTAACTTTTGGTGGTATATATGATGATAGCCATCTTTTCTTTAACGTATTTTGTAATAGTGAGAATCTTTCGATAGTGAATTTTTGAACAAACATTGTTAGCAGATTAACATGTGAAAAATTTTAATTATTTTACGTACGACAGGGTGAAACCCGCGCAAAAATAGTTACATTATTGATGCAAATCCTATCTAAAATAGTAACTAACCCTAATTAAGTATAGATCTGCATCAAGCGGATTACAACCAATCAAATTATAGAAAATTTAGCCAATTAAAATTTAGGAAATTAAAAATATCAAAAATCAACTTTTTAAAAGATTTAAAATTTTTAAAATTTTAAATCTCAAAATGGGACATTTCCATTCTAAGTGTCCCGAACTGTATCTATTTTTTTTTTCGTTTACGTCGAAACCTTTGAAGTATCTTATTTTGAAAATGGCGTTTTGAGACTATCGACGAAATCAAACTTGAAATTTGACTGGATGGCATTCACCTTATTATCTACGTAAACTCAATGCTAAGATTCTTTTGCTATACATTTAATTATTCTCATCTATCTATTTTATTAAATTGTCATAATCCATTTAAAGATCTAAACTGAATTCGCTTTCAAAACACGTCTGAATCCAATCATTGCTTAGAGGTTTTTTTTACATATTTTAATATAGTCTCTTGATAATGGTTAAATGGTATTTAAATTCATTTAGAAAATGTAAAGAGGCTAATTTACATCTTATTTTTATTTTCTAACTTGATATCATATTATCATAAAGATTAATTATAAAATATTGATCACAGTTCCGAGATAAAATGCGATTTTGATTTTGATCATATAAACTAATTAGTTTGCTATCACTATTTGCATTTATGTTAAAGCTTCTGATATGCTTAGGTATTTTTAGTTCTGTTAAAATTTGATAATCTTTTCGCCATTTTTTAAAAACTTCAAAGTTCTTCTGCTGACCATTTTTCTGGATCTTTATTCCAATATTGTTTCATCAGGTTCACATGAAGCATCGTTGTTAATGGGCGATCGAAAATCATTACATATTATTTGTATTATTTGATATTCATTTGACTTATACTCCCAACATGATTCATGCCGAAAGAGTAGTTATTGTCTGCTTCGCACTCAATAACTATATATTACACAAAACAAAATCCTTATTCGCAGCTATTCACAGTTATTCGCAGACTTTAAAAAGGATTACACAAACAAATATATCGATATAAATAAGATTAAGTTATGAATACTAGTACAGAATACAAATACGCATATGCAAATAGTACATTATGTTCGTTAATATATATTTCTATAAATTATTTTTGTTCATTAACAAAAGATCTGAATTGAATTTTAACTTACGCACTGGGAGATTTAGAATTAGTAACTTCGTACAATGAATTGTTTTACCAACTGCATGAGATATTGAAGATAAATCGCCATTTATTGACATAAATTCAAGTGGACTTAAAATGAGTTATACAGATAATATGAAAATGAGAAATCTCTCAAAAATATTTAATATGTAAAAGAATATCGTCATAGCTATTTAATTTATTAAAAACCTTTTAATTAAAGATCCTGATGACTATAAGGCTGTAATCGTTCGAACAAACACCCAATCCTTTAAGAGTGTGGGATATTTTACATTGAAATTAAAATTATAAACAAAGGTAATATTTATGATTATTTCATAACATAAACATCACCTTTGTTCTGGTGATTTTTTATAATCTTTAATTCTATTTTCTTAATAGAATGATTGGAATCGGATATTGTACAAAGCAAAGCGATAAAAAAA